CCTGTCCATGTGACTAGCAGTTACCATTGATAGGATGATAAAGGATATGAAGTAAAACTGGACATGGCTAAGACAGGAGGATGAGTAACATAATCCAGTCCTGTGATGTTCAGTATGGTGACCATTAGTCATGTGAGACTATTTAAATTAATTAAAATGAAATAAAATTAAAAGTTGAGTTCCTCAGTCTCAAGAGACACATTTAAAGTGCTCAGTAGCCACCTAGGGCTGGTGGCTACCATAAAGGGACAGTGTAGTCTGCAGAAAGTTCCATTAGACAGACCAGCGCTGGCCACCGAGGGCACTCGGATAGTCTGAGGAGTTTTGCCAACCTTAAAACACAGTCTCATAATGGATTATTCAGTCTTAGAAAGGAGGAAATTCAGACACACAATACAACATGGATGAACCTTGAAGATATGCTAAGTACAATAAGGCAGCCAGAAAGAACAAATACTGTATGATTCCACTTGTCTCTGATGCCTAGAAGAGTCAGGTGGATAGAGATAGAAAGTGGAATGTGGTTGCCAAGGGCTGGGAAGGAGCGTGGGGGGTTAGTATTTAATGGATACAGAGTTTCAGTTTCGAATGACAGAGAGGTTCTGGACATGGATTGTGGTGAGGATCGCACAACATCGTGAACGTACTTAATGCCACTTAACTGTACACTTAAAACGGTTGAGATAATCAGTTTTATGTTGTGTATACTTAATGCAATAATAATTTTAAAAAACCCACACAGCCTCACAAATGACTAAAAATGATTGCTAAATAGCTTCCAGAATAAGGTATTCATTGTGAGCAGAGTACAAGGGGTGGGGATCGGGGGTTCTTGTTGAGTGCCTAGGGTGTCCCCAGAAAGTCCCTACTCAGTGTTCATTTACACAGCCCCCCTACCCAGCATGTTCCTCATTCTACATATGGTCAATCAGACTCAGTGGGCAAGGTACCCAGCCAAGGACACATAGCTGGCCTGAGGAAGCATTGAGATTAAACTTAGGGCTGTCTGGTCCCCAGAGGTAAAATATCTGTGGTTAGGCTTTGCAGCATTAAACCCAGGTCTGCTGCCTCAAATTAACAACACCTGGGGAGACACCCCCCCCCCCACACACACACACACACACACTCACTCTTTAGGCCACAGTTATCTGGGTAAAAGCAAGTCCGAACAAAGGGTGAGAGTAACTTAGGACAGAGCAGTGAAGACCACAGGGAGATCTGAACTACAGCACTGGGCGGGGCTCTTAGCTGGTGTGTGCACTCAGCAGGGCCCGATGGGGACCCTGGAGAATGGACACAGGCATGGTAGGGTGGATGGATTACTGGTACGTACTTTAAAAAAAAAAAGTTCCCTTTCATCGTCTTAAATACAATTGAGCGGGGTGGGGGAGAACATAGTGTTAGACAAAATCTACAAATCCCTAAAACCCTCTATAGCTGAGACAGGTTAATTGTCCTGCTTTTAAAAAGAAAGCGAGCTGTTCATTGGTGTATGGGAGATTCAGCTTTCCTCATCTTGCCCCGATTTTTCATGTTCGCATGACGCTCCGATGCTGCCTAAGGGAGTGGTCTTAGAGAGAGAAGATGGGATTTAGAATAAGATGCTTGAACTGGCTGGTCCACCACTTAGCTGTGTGACGTCAGGCAGTGCACTGTCCCGTTTTCCCATCTGTGACATCGGGATCGTGTATCATGATAAAATCGTGTGTGGGGGAAGGCTTGTTAACTGTCAGCTGCCAAACAAATGTCAGTAGTAGCGACTCATTTAATGTCAGTAATGTGAGTGTTATCAATCAGGGGTCTTCGTAAACATCTCTTGTAGCTGCCCCCGCCTCAAAAAAAATTCACTCAGTTGTATTCATTGCTTTAGTCAGTTTTTATTGAGTACCTGCTATGTACTGGTGTTTAAAAACCTCCCGGATTTAAAAAGGGAAGCCTGACTTTTCCGGCGAGGCCCACCGTGGCCTCACCCGTTGCTGAATGATCTAGCATTTCCCCATCGCCACACGGCACAGAGTGGGAGGGAATCCACAGCCTCCAAGGGCAACCTTTCAGGGTGCCGGCTGCGCTGAGGCTGACCCCCTACCCAGGGTACCACGTAAAACAGCACAGACCGGGCAGGAGCTCCAGCCCGCGTCAATGGCCCTGTATCCCGAACGCCAAGGAGCGATCCTGTTTGAGTGTCTTGGTGGCATCTCCGAGGTGGACGATGCGATTGCAGAGAAAAGCCCGTGGGCTTTGTCTCCGGCCCCACCCCGCGCTGCCTGCAGGCCCACGGCACGTCTCCTCACTTCTCTGGGCTTTGGTTTCCTGGATGGTAACGTCTTCCTTGAAGGAATACGCTGAGGATTTAGCGAGAGGACGTGTCTGAAGAAGCCAGGTCATGCTCGGCATATACGCTTGTTTCTCTTCTCATCTGCCTCAGGTCCTCTCCCCCCCAAATGCCTTCGCAGTCTCTCTGCTGATTCCTGCCAGGCTCTCTGAAGCTTCTTTCATTCTATCAGAGGGACACATCTTGAGTGCCAGGGTGGCTTTCTCCTTGAGGCGAAATGATGGGCAGGCTTTTCACATTCCAGCCATCGCTTCTGGAGGCTCGAGACGCCCTTACCCTCTGTTTGAATTCTGGGCCCATGGACCAGTCGAGATGGGTTAGGATATTCCCTTTGAAATAGTGTCGATATACAATAAGGATTTATTTCTCACTCTGGTTACACGTCCATCAAGGATTGTGTGGACTCTGGACCCTCACTCCCGGACCGTCGCTGGCAGAGAAGCCACTGTTCGGAGTGTGGCCGGTCACCATGGCAGGCGGAAATGGAGAAGGGTGAATCACACACCAGTCGTAACTCTTCTTACCCTGGGTGACGTGGGTCTCCTCTGTTCACATTTAATTGGCCACATCCACTTCCAGGGTGAGGGGAGGTTCTAATCGACCACTTGCTCAGGAGAAGACCCAGAAATCCAGTGACAGCATAATGACTCCACAGCCCAGCTTTAATCCATAAAGTAACTGTGCAGGTTGCTCTCATTATGGCCAACTTCCCGATGAGGGCCAAGCTGTGTCATCTCCCCCAGACCGCAAGGAGCGGATCTCTGTGGTTTTGTATATGAAATCAGATATTTCACACTCATTCCTTAAAAGGTCAGAGAGGCGTTTATTGCACTGCTAAAGGTGTTTCTTTTGCGTGTCCTGTCCCCGTTGCCCCTCTGTCCCACGGCAGCCCACACCCACCTCTCACGGTGCTTCCTACACCGCCCTGCAATGGTCAGTTATCTTTCTGGTCTCCTCTCTAAACTGGGAGTCTCTGTGCCATGCACTTATATACTTTATGTCATGTCCCAGCACAGAGCCCGGCACAGAGCTGTCTGTCAATCCAAGCTAGGGATTTCATAGCGGGGCAGGGGACTGTGATGCTCTCAGAGGCATAGACCCAACCAGATTGATTGCGTCTCAGTGGTTTGTTCCTGGACACAACCCGGCAACTTTTGGAAAACAGAATGATCTCCCTTGGGGGGGCATTAGTCACATTTCAGGTCCTGTGGCTGGAGACCCCTAGGAAAACTGAGAATGGTCTCTCCCTGCTCCGAGCCTTCACAGATCTGGCAGCTGTGGACATAAAGAACTGTTTTCACGGAGATCCTAGGTCACACTGACATTGCCTTCCCAATTAGATGGGGTTTCTGAAAAGCTGAACAAAAGTGAGCTTCTGGATATCCAATCACGTATTTCACATAATTCTTTTAAATGTCAGAGACACATTTATCGTATTTTTTTTTGGTATTCTCTCCTCATCGCAGATGCAGATGTTGGACAAATTTCCCATGGAAGGGGGACAGAAGGACCCCAAACAGCGGATCATTCCCTTCCTGCCAGGTAGGTGAGACCCGTGCTCTGAGATGGGGCCTGTGGGGTGTGTCCAGTGTGGCTCCTGCTCTCTTGGCTTGTCCTCCTGGGGGCATTGTCCCAATGCCCAGAATCTCAGTCATCTGTAAAAATGAGTGGCTAAGAGTATGTGCCTTAGGGTACATGCCACACCACTTATTTACTGGCTTAGGCAGGACACTTCACCTCTGGGAGCTGCAGTTTCTCCTACCTCTACAATGGGAATAATCGGCACTCATAAAGTTTTGTAATGAGCGGCGTCTGTTATTACGGCTTTAGTTTTCTGTTGTTGTGTATCAAATCGCCACCAGTTTAGTGGCTTAAAACAGCACCTGTTGTCTCACAATTCTGTTGGTTAGAAGTCCAGGCGGACTCAGCTGGGTGCTCTGCTTAGGCTGAGGTCAAGGTCTCGGCTAGGTTGGCATCTTATCTGGAGGATCTGGGGAGGAATCTACTCCCAGCCTTACTCAGGTTGTTGGCAGAATTCAGTTCCTTGCTGCTCCAGAACCGAGAAGCCTGTTTTCCTTGCCGGCCGTCAGCTGGGGCTTCCAGAGGCTGCCTGCATTCTTCCTTATGTGGCCCTTCCATCTTCGGGCTGACAATGAGGCACTGAATCTTCCTTCTGCTTCAGATGTCTTCTGCCACCAGTTGGAGAAAGCTATCTGCTTTGAAGGGCTCGTGTGATTATGCTGTACTCACCTGGCTAATGCAGGATAATCTTCCTCTCTTAAAGTCAACCATGGCATATAACGTAATAGAATCCCAGTAGTGCCATCACACCTTAGTCACAGGCTCTGGGGATTAGGTGGGACATCTCTGAGGGGGTCTGCCCGCCTTCTGACCACAGCTACCAAGCACTTTCTGAGTGCCAGGCGCCACTCCAGGCACCATGGAGGAGATAATGCAGTAATGGTTAGTCCTTGTTCTCGGGGCATTCTGTGTCCCCTTCCCAATGCCCCACACCTCATTTTTTTTTTTCCTTACCAATGGAGTAGCATCAAGGCTTCAGCTCAAAAAGTGGGCTACCCAAACCAGTATCAGGGCCTCAAGTAATAGCCGCTAATACTGATTAGCTGTCTGCTGCGGGCCAGTCACGGGGCTAAGTGCTTTACATCCATTTCCTCATCCAGTCCCCCGATGACCCTGCAGGGTGGACATTAATTACTGTGCTCATTTCACAGATGTAGAAATCGAGCTCAGAGAAATTATAATCACTTGCACAAATGGCAGAGCTGGGATTGAGACACAGCTATGGCTGGCCCCAAAATTCATGCCTGCCGTCAGGCAGCCTGGGTTCGAATCCCAGCGCGCCCCCACTTATCTACTCTCTTGTCGTGGGTGGAGTGTCTCAGCACGCTGACTTTTATTTCTTCATTTGTAAATTGGAGATAATAATGGTGCTTAAATGATAGAGTTCACTAAGTACCTGGCACAGAACTAGCAGCAATCAAGCACTTACTGTTATGTTTTATGTACAGATAATCAACAGATCGACAATCACCCTAAATCACAAGCATTTAGAGCTAGACAGGCTCTTCAGATCTTTTTCATTCTGCAGAGAAGGGGGCTGGCCCAGTGATGGGGGAGACGCCTCAGGTCACACGGGAGCCCAGTCTCCCCTCCCCCACTCCGGGCTTCTGCCGTCGGCACGTGAGTGGGCTCTTCCAGATGGTGGCATTGTCGAATGGGTCTAGAGACAGCGTAGAAATGTTTGCACGGCCTCCATCCACTGGGAGGATCATTTGCCTAAAAAAAAGCTAATGTTTTCAGTTCTTTAGCGAGGAAAGTGTACAGTCGCAATGGAATATTTTTTCCTATTGGAGAAAAACCGGAGTGCCAGCTGCCAACAGCCAGATGTCACTTCTCCAGAGCATGTGCTTGGGAGTCAGACCCAGTCCTGTGACCTCAAGCGGATGACATCCACCCCGCCCTCCCCCCTGAGCCTCAGTTTCCACAGCTATAAAATGGGACATGACCCCTGCTTCACACGCTTCTCTCCCTGGCACACAGTAGGTTCTCTCAACGGCAGAAGCAGAGTCCCATGACATTCCTTTGGAATCTCTTGGTATTGCATGTCTTGGAGTCGTACGTAAATGGTCAGTCTGGATATTCAAGTTGAACTGGGCTCTAAATGTAGGTTTTTCTTAAGGAAAAGAAAGGCAGTGAGTTAGAACCCTCCCTTCCTACTGGATGAAAGGCTAAACCAGCTGTGGAAAACTTCCCGGGACGCGGAGGCCCTTGAGCCGACCCTCTCCCAAGCCCCCGGACGCTTTCATGGTTACGTAATCCTTTTCCACCCACGAAGGCATGAAAATGCTGTTCTCAGGATCTCAGCCCCAATTTCCCTGCTCAGGGCACCCCCATGGAGCTTGGAGAGGTCCCGCTGGGTCCCAGGACTCCCAGAGCACCTTCTCAGTCCCTCTTAGCTTTTCCTCAAGGCCAAGGGCAGGGACCCGCGAGAGGAATACCCCCTCTCCCAGGGGCCACTTTGCTGCCAAGACTGCCACGTCAGCAGAACAACAGCAAGTCTCCTGTTAGCACAAAGGCAGGGGGAAGGGAGAGCCTCCCTGTGCAATTTTCCACCCCAGCAAGAGCCGGGGAAGCCAACTTGGCAGAGGATGTGGCTTGAAAATTAAAAATTACAGTTTGGCCTCCCTCCACTGTGGAAAACAAAAGCCTGCTCGTTCCCACCAAGGGCTGTTCCTTCCACGAGCACTCTTTGAGCCCTCTTTCCCCCCCAGGCAGGCTGACCAGCCGGCGAGGGATGGCTGCAGGCTCGCACGCCCTCCTTTCCCATGACTCACACTTCATATCCGGCGCAGACAAGGGGGCTGCTGCCCCATCCGCCTGTCACCTGGGAGGCACCGGCCACGGATGTGCTGGGCACACGGTCCTGCCCCATGGCCTGTGGATAAGTGACGAATTAGCCAGTAGTAAAGAGACAAGGCTCAAGACACCAAGCTGGGGGTTAAGGAGAGACATGTGCCCTTCATTGCAGAGTGTAATGTGGCATCGTCTAACTTGTGTAAAACACAAAGTCATTAACCCGTTGCAAGCACCTAGGACTAAGCCTTGTGCTGGGTATGTCATGGAGATTGCTATGAAGGGGTAGGGGCTGCTCTCCTGTTTTACAGAGGAGGAGACAGGCCATAAGAAATAAATGCACTTCCCAAGGCACAGTCAGTAAGAGGCAACCCTCAGAATGGCCTGGGGCCTCGCTGAAGACAGGAACTCTTAACCTGTTCGAAGTGAGTATGAGTTTCCCAAAAAGCATGGTGGATGAGGTTGGATGCGGAGCATATTCCAGGCGGAGGGAAAGGCACAGGAGCATGAGAGAGCATGGAGCATTTTGAGAACAAAAGACTAGAGTAGAAGGTATACGAGGAAAAGAGGAGGAAAGGAGACCGAACTGTTAGATTAGGACATATCGTGAGTGTCCACTATTCTGCCCAGCCAGCCTGAGAATCCTAGAGTTGGCTGGGGGACCTCAGATCGTCAGGTCTCCCCTTCCTTCTTCATCGGTGGGAGCCCCTTCCTTCCACAGACTGGTTCCAGCCTCCCTTAGCTCATTGAAACGTATCCATGGATCCCACTTCCTCCAGCCCTTGCACTAGAGCTGTGAGCAGGGCTTTGGAGGACCATGCATGAGGTCATTCAGGCCCTATAGACGTTCAACAGGAAATATCGATAGCAGCCAGGAATTTGGGTACCGCTCAGGCGTACCAGCTACATCCACATCACACCTTCCAGCTTCCCGAGAGCTTGTCACTGCTTTCTGACAATGCTGTGTGCACTGTCATTTTCTGCAGGCAAAATCCTCTTCCGACGAAGCCACATCCGGGACGTGGCCGTCAAACGCCTGATACCAATTGATGAATACTGTAAGGTAAGTCTGAAAAATGCCAGCACCTCCCAGTGTCTCATGTCTGCCCTGTGGGTAGGTTTTTCTTCCTTTTCTTTTTCTGGCTACAAGGTGCTCATTGTGAAAAACCTGTACAGTTGAAAGAAATATAAAGAAATTAGAAAAAATAATCACCAATAATCCTTCAACTCTGGAGCAATAGTCATGAAGGTTTTTACATCTTTCTTTCCTCTCTGCATGCGTTTCTTTATGGTGTCGAGGCCATCCCATCTGTGTTCTTTTTGTTGCTCTTTCTCTTATTTTTTGTCGTGTAAGAATTTCCCCACGCTATTACAAAAATCTTCTCGAGACTATTTTTAATGGCCGCATAGTATTCCACTGCGCGTGCATCACCCAAAAATTATTCATCCAGCCCCTGTTGTTGGACAGAGCGGTGGTCTTCCAATCTCGTGACTGTTTTAAACAACGAGGGGCCTGCCTTTTGGTTCTACTATGTTTACATCGAGGCCATGCTAGAGAACAAAGCATATTTTTTAGTTTGTTTAGCTTCCCTTATCTTTAGTATTTATTTTTCTAACTTAAAATTACTAGCGGTTCTGAGGGAGAAGGGTAGGAATAGCAAGAAATGCCCTAAAAATGGAGCAGTGAGTGCTTTCTTCCCCTTAGATCAGGAACGAAGCAAGTGTATTTGCTCTTGTCACTTCCGTTCTGCATTTGAAGTTCTAGCCTGGGTAAGCAGGCAAGAAAATGAAATGGAAGGCACACAGCTTTGGAAAGTAGGAAGTAAAACTGCCTTGATTCGCAGATGATGTGATTCCATTGTACTAAATCATAAGGGAATCTCCCAGGAAACCTACCAGAACTAATAAACGAGTTTAGTAAGATCACAGAGTACAAGATCAATGTACAAAAATCAATTGTATTTCCCTATATACTAGTAAGAGACAACCCAGAAGTAAAATTAAGAAAATAATTCTATACACAGTAGCATTAAAAAGGATCAAATACTTAGAAATAAATTAGTAAAAGAAGTGTAAGGTTTGTACTCTGAAACTGTAGAACATCACTGGGAGAAATGAAAAAGAAGCCCTTAATTAATGAAGAGACTTTCTGTTCTCGTGGAATGGAAGACTCAATAGTGTTAAAATGGCATTTCTCCCCTAGTTGATCTACGGAGTCAGTACAATCTTTGTCAAAATCCTAGTAGGCTTTTTTTTTTTTTTTTGGTAGAAATTAACAAATTGATCCTAAAGTGTGTGGGGAAATGCAAGGGACCCAAAATAGCCAAAACAGTTTTGAAAAAGAACAAAATTTCAGGGTTCGTGCTACGTACTTTCAAAACTTCCTACAAAGCTACAGTAATTAAGACAGTGTGTACTAGCATAAGGATCGACATACAGGTCAGTGGAGTAGACCTGAGAGTCTAGAAATAAATTCTTACAAATCTGTAGGCATTTGGTTTTCAACAAGCTACCAAGAAATTCAAAAGGAAAGGATAATCTTTTTAACAAACGTAACACAATGTGGATTAATAGAACATCCATATGCAAAAAAAAATTTTTTTAAGTTGGACCCTTACTGCGCACCATGCACAAAAAAATCAACTCAAAGTGGATCACAAACCTAAACATAAGAGCTAAAATATAAAACTTCTAGAAGAGAACATAGGAGAAAATCATGACATTCGTTAGGCAAAGAGTTCTTAGATATGGCAGACACTCAGAGAAAAATTGATAAATTTGACTTCAATAAACTTAGAAACTTCTGTACTTTGACACTATGCAGAAAATGAAAAGACATTCCACAGATTAGGAGAAAATATTTGTAAATCATGTATCTGATAAAGAACTTATATGGAGACTGTCTAAAGAACTCTTAGAACTTAGTATTAAAGAGATAACCCAGCTTAAACATAGACAAGATTTCAATAGAAATTTCCCCCAGGAAGATATACAGTGGTTCATAAGCACATGGAAAGGGGGTTCAGCATCATTAATCGTGAGGGCGATGCCAAATAACACCGTGACGAGATGCCTGTTCAGCCACTAGAACAGCTGTGACCAGCAAGTCAGGACCGAGAGTCAGTGAGGATGTGGAGAAACTGGAATCCTCATTCCGATGTGCTGGGAAGCTACTTTGGAAAATAGGTCGGCGGTTTCTTCAAAAAGGACATTGATTACTTGACCATTCTTAGGTATGTACTCAAGAGAATTGAAAACTTATGCCCACACAAAGATATGGATGCACATGTTCATAACAGTATTAATTCATAATAGTCCCAAATGGGAAGCACTCCGAATGTCCATCAGGCAAATAGATGAAATGTGCAATAGTCATACAATAGACTATTATTCGATGATAAAATGCAGTGAAATACTGATAAATGTTGCAATGTGGATGAATCTCAAAAACATGCTGCTACATGAAAGAAGCAGATGCAAAAGACTATAATATTGTATGATTCCATTCATATGAAATGTGCAGAAAAGGCAAATTTATAGAAATAGAAAACAGATCAGCGGTTTTCTGGGCCTGGAGGCAGTGGAAGTGGGGATTAGGTGGGGGGAAATTTTTGGGGTGATGGAAAAGTTCTAAAACTAGACAGTGGTGATGGTTGCACAACTCTGTTACTGATTAAATATCATCGAATTGTATTCTTATAATAGGTGAATTTATGGTACATAAATTATACTTCAGTGAATCTAAAATATAAAGGGCAGGCAGGTCTACAGCCACGCCACCCTGAACAAGCCAAGGTGAATTTATGGTACATAAATTATACTTCAGTGAGTCTAAAATTTAAAGGGCAGGCAGGTCTACAGCCACGCCACCCCGAACAAGCCATCTCATCTCGGAAGCTAAGCAGGGTCGGGCCTAGTTAGTACTTGGATGGGAGACCACCTAGGAAGACCAGGTGCAGTAGGCGTATACATAGATAGATAGATAGATAGATAGATAGATAGATAGATAGATAGATAGATAGATAGATAGATAGCAGGAAGTGTGGGGACATCATGGAAGAGCATAAAATCACTACTGATCGAGCAGATCCTCTTTGCCAGACATGACCTCATCTCATCTCCCCAGTAACCTTGGGAAGTGGGTTTTATCATTCCCGTTGTGTAGATGAGGAAATGGAGGCCCAGTGGAGTTACTCGCAGTGACAATATTGGCGGTTTGAGAGTTGAACCCAGGCCTTTTCAGCCTCAGCACTCACGTGTCACTCATGGCCTCTCTAAGAAAGTAAAAATTCAAGAGGCTGAAATAGTCAAGCACGTATTTCATAGAGGTAGATACACTCAGGCACAAAGACTCTACTCCTGTCACCAGCTCTGAGAGGAAAGTGCCGATCTTCTCCTCTTTGTCCCTTTCCAAACCTCTAAAGCCTAAAATTCCTTTGTCCCAAGTCCTTTTGGCAACAACTTTGAACTCTCGGGGTTACCTTGACCAGCTAGGAAGTTCCAGCTGACATCTTCCCCAGAAACTGTTGTCTCTCAGCCCGAAATGTGCTGTCCTGCTTCTTCCCAGCCCACCCATCTTTTTTCCAGAGTCAAAAGTTCCTCACGCCCAGGGCTTGACAAGCTCTTGGACCCTTGCTTTGGGGACAGGGGAGGGAGGACAGTAATGCCGAAGCCATAAGGGATAACAGCAGCTGCCTGCATCTGGCCGGTGCTGGGAACCATACAAAGATCATGAATTCGCCTGGATTAAGAAACTGGGGAAGAAACTGCTTATGTTCTATGAGCCACATGGAAGTTACAGCCCCTGGCTATGGATGCAGCGTAAGAAGCAGAGTGGATATTTTGGGATTTTGGTTTGGGCCAAGTTTCCTGGGCTTGGCTTCAAGGGAACTAACTGCCCTCTTGGAAGGAGATGAAACTATCCCTTTTGTCACAAGGTCTGCGAAGTCTTTTGCAGACTGCCTGGGCTTTCCGTAGCATTTGGTATTTGTTAATGTCATTGTTGTAAACTGACTTAAGCCAATTCGATCTGTCACTATGAGCTTTATTTTAATAGAAATTGGTGGTCTCCAACAGGTAAAGATAGACAAGGGCTGTAGATATCCCAAAACCTAGCTGCCAGGTGTGCATTACAATGTATACTTCTGCTCTATCAGATCTATTATAAAATTACAGTAATTAACGTAGTATGGCGTTGGCACAAGGAAAGAGAAACCATTGGAACAACTTAGGGAAACCAGAAAAAATCCCGTATGTATTTGGATACTTTGCTACTGACAAAGGCAGCTTTGCAGATCATTGCGGAAAGGTTGGATTCCTTAGTAAATTGGTATCCGCGTTTGAAAAAACAAAAAAGAACTAACTTCTACCTCACACCACACATGTAATTATTTCCAAGGAAATTAAAGACCTAAATCTAAGAGGCAATAAAAAGGTTTAGAAGATAAAAATAGGATGATGTCTTTATAATCTCTAGAAATAGAGGGATTTCCAAAGATGAAAAAAATGCCAACCATGAAAGGATTTGATTCGACTACATTAAATTTAAGCACTTCAATTTGTCAGAAAGCACAAAGGAAACAAGACTAGGCCAAATCCTGCCCCACCCACAGGCATTTATTATTGAGCAGCTCCCTAAAAGGCCTCTCAAGTGGTTCTGTAAGCTCACTGAAATACCAGCTGTCCGTTTGACACCACTTTGCATGAAAGTTGCCTTGAGACAAGATGCAAGGATGTCCTAGTGGCCGGATCAGCTAATCCTAACTGTGATCTGACAGTAAAATCCTCAAGAAGAGGCAGAATCCAGAGGATTCAGAATCCTAGACCTGGCCCCATTCTGAGAGATGTTCAATGCTGGGCTCGCCCAGTTCCATTCATGCAAGGGCCAGAGTGTCAGAGAATTTCTAGAACCCCACACGTCTCGCCGGTTAAGATAATTGTTTCTAACAACTGTTAGCGCTAGGGCATAAAGGCTATGGTATGGGTATGGGAGATGAAGGCAGCTCAAGCCCCGAAATAGACTTTTCTGAAGTAGGGACTTGTGATTAGTCTTTTACTTGCTAA